CAGACAGACAGACAGACAGACAGACAGACAGACAGACAGACAGACAGACAGACAGACAGACAGACAGACAGACAGACAGACAGACAGACAGACAGACAGACAGACAGACAGACAGACAGACAGACAGACAGACAGACAGACAGACAGAGAGTCAGAGAGAGAGAGAGAGAGAGACACAGAGAGACAGAGAGACAGAGAGACAGAGAGACAGAGAGACAGAGAGACAGAGAGACAGAGAGAGAGAGACAGAGAGACAAAAAGACAGAGCAGCGGGAAAGAGGGAAAGAGGGAAAGAGGGAATAGGGAAAGAGAGAAGGAGGGAAAGAGAGAAGGAGGGCAAAGAGGGCAAAGAGACAGAGACAGAGAGACAGAGAGACAGAGAGAGAGACACAGAGAGACAGAGAGACAGAGAGACAGAGAGACAGAGAGACAGAGAGACAGAGAGACAGAGAGACAGAGAGACAGAGAGACAGAGAGAGAGAGAGAGAGAGCGGGAAAGCGGGAAACCGGGAAAGATAATTTTCGAGAAATTTCGATCCGGACAGGTCCCGAAATTTCTCGGAAATTTGACCCGTTATTTTTTCGGAAAGCCGCTAAATTCTGCGGAAATTTGCGGGGGTAACGTCTGGAGATCTGAGAGCCGGGTCGCCGGAAGCGACCCGAAATTCGGGAAAATTTGGCCGGGTTATGCCGCGAGAGCTCTAGGCGGAGATCCGAAGAACCCCCCCAACTTTCGGAAAATTTCGGGGTTCCGGGCCGCGCGAAGAGGCAGGAGCTTGTGCCGCGAAGAAAAGACCGGGACGGGCATAGCCGCTCGCCGCAAGCACGACGATTCGGCCGGAGTACCGCTGTAACGGCTCTGCGGTGCACGAGACATGCGACCCCGAGGCCTCACCGGTTTCTAGGAGAATACTTAATATTACACTATACAATTCATAAGTTTATAACAATTTGATATATATATATATGTATCTACCTATCTATCTATTTTCTTAATTATATATACTTCATATTAAACCGCAATATATTTTCATGATTTACTTCAAATTTTATATCAATCTATACTATATTTCATTATGTTTTATTCCCCAGATAGCTGAAAGCTATAGAACTTCTAGCAAAGAAGGGGAAATGATTTGCGAGATTGAGGGCCGGGTGGTGGGGGGCATTGCAGTTTGGGGTGCTGGTAGAGGTGCCGCTTTGCGAGATTGACAGCCGGGTGCTAGAGGGCATGCAGTTTCGGGTGCTGGTGGAGGTGCCGCTTTGCGAGATTGACGGCCGGGTACTAGGGGGCATGCAGTTTCGGGTGCTGGTGGAGGTGCCGCTTTGCGAAACTGACGGCCGGGTGCTAGGCGGCATGCAGTTTGCGCATTAAGGTGCTGGTGCCTGTGCTGTTGGACAGCGGGGGGGCATTCAGTTTGGTGCTGGTGATGGTGCCGGCGCATTCTTGCAAGATTGATGGCCGCGTGCAGTTTGGGAGCTGATGCAGCTGTTTTGGGAACTGTGTGGGGTGTTGTTTGAGGCGCTGGTGACGTTGCGGGCGCAATTTTTGGAGATTGCCGGCGGTGCTTGGGGGCATGCAGTTTGGGGTGGTGCTGCAGGTGCTGTTTTGTGTTGCTGTTGCTGCTGACCGCGCGGGCTTATTTCCCAGACAACTGGAAACCATAGTGTTTCAAACTTCTAATGAAGAAGGAAAATTGTTTTGCAAGTCGACAGCTGGGAGCTAGGGGGCATGCGCTTTGGGGTACTGGCGCAGGTGCGGTTTTGGGCGCTGTTCGGTTCAGGTGCTGGTGACAGTACGTGACGGCGTGGTGCTCGGGGACGTGTCCGGTGCTGGCGCGGGTGCTGCGTTGGGGTGCTATTGGGGCTGCTGTTGGCGCATATGGATGGCAGGGTGCTAGGGCGGGTGCTGTTTGGGGTATCGTGGTTGTCGCATCATCATGAGGCTGGCCGCAGCATCATTATGCTGCTCGGACAGCATAATGATGCTGTTGAACCGATTCGGACGTTGTTGCTGCTCTAACTGTCGCCCGTAATGGTTCGGGGCTGGTGTATCATCATGATGTTGTCAACCACGTCATGATGCTTCTGCAATCGCTGCGATGCCGCGTTATGGTTCGTGGGTGTGGTGGGGGGCATAAATGCTGTCAACAAAAGCATGATGCTGAACTTCATGACACTGTCGCAAAATGATTCCTGGCTGTGGTATCATCAGGATGCTGCCTTTGCCACCACCATGATGCTGTGAGCATCATCATGATGCTGTCCGCAGCATCATGATGCTGTTGAACTTATTAGGACGTCGTCTCTGCCTTTTCTCTGCTAGGTATGTAGCGCGGAATCGTTCGTGCCTGGTGTCTCAGCATCATCCTGTCAACATCATCGTTTTGCTGATGAACTAACTAGGACGTTGTCTGCGCTTCTATGTAGCACACTATGCTGAGCAGCAGTGGTATTTTCATGATGCTGTCAACATCATCAAGATGCTGTCAACATCATCATCATCATGCCGTGGGAATTATTATGATGCTGCGTCATGGTTCGTAGCCGTGGTGTGCTATCTGCGGTCTATGCTGGTGTATTTAATTCATTCTTATTATAAACGATTTCATTTTTGATGATTCGAACAAATCCGTCTCTATCTTTATGCATGTCTATCTATTTATCTGTCCACTGTCGAGATGTATATCCAGCTATATATCTATCTATCTGTTTGTCTATCTGTCTATCTATCTATCTATCTATTTGCTTATCTACCTACTTATCTATCTCATCTATCTATTTATCTATAGTTCATCCACTCTCTTTCTCGCTCTCTCTCTCTCTCTCTCTCTCTTCCTTTCTATTTGTGCACTTGATCTATCTACCTACCTATCTATATGTAAATATATATATATGTATATATCTATCTGTCTATCTATAATATCTTATCCTATCCTATCCTATCCGATCATATCTATCCATCTACTTATCTACTTGTCTACTTATCTACTTGTCGAGTATTTGTCTGCCTGCCTGCCTGCCTGCCATCTGTCGATCTATCTATCTGCTTGTCTATCTATCTATCCATCCATCCATCTATCTACTATTCGTTATTTATGTTGTCTTTCTTTTTTCTATTTACCTGGCCTACCTATCTGTCTGTCTAGCTATCTATCTATTTTCCGGCTCTATGTATCGATCTCTCTTGTTGTTCTATGTATGTATCGATCTATCTATCGATCTATCCTTATATACCTTTCTGCCTATCTATTTATCGGCCCTCTCAATCTCTCTCTCTCTCTCTCTCGCTCTCTCTCTTTCTCTTTGTCTTCTATCTATCTATCTATCCATCCATCTGTCTATCTATCGACCTTCGAAAGCTGCACAAAACCTTGCGGCGCCTGCCACGAAATCTGCACTTGACCCTGCGAAAGTGCTGCGCCTGCTACGAAATCTGCACATGGCTTTGCAAGAAGGTGCGCGCGCGTTCGTGCTAGTGGTTGGTACATCGCAGCACAAGACTTTGAATTTCCTTTGGGGTGGCTAGACTGGGGCTCCTTAGCAAATCCCGGCAGGGTGGCCTCAGCAAAAGACCCCTTGGGCAGCGACCCGGAATGTCTTCTCAGCGCTCACGGCCGCTGGATCTCAACCAGCTGGCCTTCTGGGGCTTAGGTGGACCCAAAGGGGCAGACCTTCAGTGGCAAGGAGGAGGACTGGATAACCTGCAGCTTTGTAGCCCGAGGCTATATGATGCTGGTGAGCTTGGAGTTCTTGAGCTACTTGCAGCAAGCAAGTAGCCTCTCCATGGAGGACTTCAAGGATATGGCAAAGGCACGCGCCTGGGCCCTGTGAAACATCCTCACACGTGTTGAGGGACGAGCCCTATCTGTTATCATGAATGCAGCAGGGGAAGAAATCCAAGGACGCGAGCTACCTGTACCGAAAGAGCCGCAGAAGAGGAGAGAAGACGCCGTGAGATCGCACACCTGCCTACGGCTGATTGGCGCCAGCGCTGCGTCATGGGAAAAGGGAGAGACAAAGATCATCAGAGGAGAAGTTCAGACAGCAATGCCGTGATGCAGCCGGACTACTCTCGTACCTGAAGTTTGATGGAGCAGACGCCACGGTGGAGGACACAGCGGAGGTGGTGAGGACAGCAGCAGATAGATGTGAGCACTGGAATGGCGGTGGCCATATCGAGAGAATATATATATATATTACGAAGTGCTCGCGAACTAGAAATATAGATGGATAAGTATATAGATACATGGATAGACAAGTAGATAGATAGATACAACAAGAAGAGAGAGAGAGAGAGAGAGAAACTGAACAGGTAGATGAATAGAATGACAGAGAGATTTGATAGATAGTACGATAACTAGACAGCTAGATACATAGACAGACAAACAGACAGACAAACAAATAGATAAACTGATAGATAGATAAACTGATAGATAGATGGGTAGATAGATAGGTAGATAGATAGGTAGATAGATAGATACATTTGTTTTCTCGTTGGAGTCATGCTATTCTATAGTCAGAGATTGACGATTGCTAGTTGCTGCTTTAGCTTTTGGACCGTGAAGTCTGCTCGCTCTCGCCATGCTCAAGCCGTAGCATGGCTCCGTCGAACATCGGGTCCCCCAGGTCCCCACAGCAGCCGTTTTGGCACGTGTTACAGGGAAACCTACAGGAGAAAAAGGCGAACATGGCTCTGGAGGCCTGGGGTTTCTCGATGATGCCTAAGTGCCACATGTGGCATGTGGCACCTTGCCATCAAGAAGCATGCAAGGCGGCGATCCAAGAGGCCTGGCTTAGCGCACTCTGCTGATGGCTGCGGATAAGCGGCTGAATTTCCATCTTGGATTGTCACCAGGCACTATGGCTGTACAAAATTGCAGCGTTCGCGCTCCGTTAGCGAGAGTTGAACACTGGCCACGGCACGCGCTGCCAATTGAAAGGAAATTCAGAAGCTGCCTTTGGCACATCTACCTTGGGCCCATGCAGTGTGGATCATATCAGAGAACAAAGGTCGGAATGTTCTCGGTGTGGAGGTACTCCTTCCTGGCAATGAGAATTTCGTGCGGGCTTGGACCTGTTGCTCTGCGCCTTCGGAGCTCCACCGACCTCGGCTACGGCCCGGACGCATGCCACGGGCTCCGGCCACTCGAGCGACGCCTCTCGAGGAGCATGATGAGCTCCGTCTTTTCGGCCAGTCCGGTGAAATCAGCGCCAATGGCGCGAAGCCTCGCCTGGCGCGTGAGAAAAAACAAAAAAACAACGCACAGGGCGCACAGGGCTTTGGCTTTGGCCGGGATTTGCCTTGAGCTCTTTCACCGGCAGGTCCCAAAGTTCAGAATGCCGGGCATGATCTCGGGCCTGCGGGCCCATCGGGCAACCCTCGCGCCTTTAGATTTCTCAATGTTCCAAGAGCCAACCTGACCTTTGACACCTCAGGCCAAAGGCAAATCGATGCCTCTGGCGTTGGCGAAGGTAACGGTCCTCGAGGCCTGGCATGCCAAGTGACCCGTCACAGCAAGCTGTCGGATGCTGTCGGAGCTTGGCCTCTTCAAGCTGTGGCAATCGTCCTCCTCGGCAAGCACTTGGAAAGTAGGTGCAGGGAACGCGCGTGACTGGCAGATGTGGGTGATGTCACGTGTCAGAATCCATGTCTCCATACCCTGTGCAGAAATTTGAGTCGCCTGGATGCGAAAATCAAAGCTTCGAGAGTGCTCCCATGGATCTGGTGATTCCCGCCTCCAAATGCGCAAAGGGCTCCTCAGGGTTGGGAGGGCTCGGCATGGCCTGACCGCATTCGAGCAGCTCGGCGGCATCGCCGAGCCCCCAACCCCGGCTCCGCGGCCTCGATGCCGGCCTCAGCACATCGGACGGAGGAGAGCCAGAAGCAAAAACAAGTCTGGATTCTTGGAGGGAATCAGGACCCCAGCAAAAATATGTTTTGCCTGGTTAGTGGAAAACAAAGGGATCCCCAAAAAAAACAAAAAAAGGGGAACTAATTCTGGGGAAGGATTCTCACAAGGGGGCCGCACCTGATTGAAGTATTCGCGCGGGTCAATCCGACGTTGACATCACCCAATGTGAATCCGCTTGGCTTCAAGGCAGATCGCTTTGCCATGGCCGAAGAAAAGCGATGGAATCCCTCAAGCCACAGCAGCTTCTGGATTTGCGTGTGACAAGTCTCCAGGATACCCTCTTTCTTCCACCCCCAACCTTTTGCGTTTTGGGGGTGGGAGACCATTTACAAAAGGCACAACTGAGATCAGCAAAACAGATTTGGGTTTGGACGAAAGGGCTGCTGCCCCGTGGGCAAATTCGCACAGCGCCGCCTTTTGCCTGCGAGGGGTCCGGGGCGCCGGGGCGCCAAGTGCCAGACATTGCACGCTTGGTACTTGTGCCGCCCACTCTAAAACTCTCTAAACGCCTCGCGGGGAATGACACCTGCCAAGCCCATTTTGTTGCTGCGAAGTGCTCTGTTGCGCACCTAGTGCTCACTTGTCCAAAGGACACGGGCATCAAAGGTTCGCTGGTTAGCCCTTCGAGAAAGACGTAAACCAATAGGTCAAAGGCCGGCTTTGGACAAGAGAGAGTAGAGTTCTAAGCCGATGCGGCTGACAGGTGGAGATGACTTCAATTCGCCGTGCGGACTACCTGGCACTGTGGTGTTTTTCTGCAACTCATCCACCCACCCGTGCTGCACCGAGCAGCGAGCGCTCGTCCTACCGAGACTCTGTACATTTTGCGCAGCCCAGGGGCCGCAGAACGGGCTAGCTCCACCTGCTATAGAGCCAGCGCCGCTAAAACACAAGCCGGGCTGTACACCTTGAAATCTGTGACGTGTCACAGCTCGAACGGCGGGACCTCCTCCTTTTTGGGGGCTGGCTGAAGCCTGAGTCGGTCGCTTTCAGATCCCGCCAATCCACAAATGTTCAAAGACCCACGTGGAGAAAGTGAAGCCAGCCATATTTGGCCATTGTATGTTGCAGTTCTCCTGTTTCGTCCGAATGGGTGAGAACGGAATAAGGAAGGTGTTAGGAGGAGGGGAAGGGCATACTATACGAGGGGGGTTTAGGCCCTCAGTTGGCTCATATTTCGCCCACAAGCCATGTCAAGCCGGCATGATGCAGCCCAAAGGCTGTTCCAGCAGATTCACCAGCTCTGTCTTTTCGGTGACGCCCTTCAGGTCAGCCCCCAGTGCTTCGAGGCGGGCCTCACTCAGCACAAGCATGGCCGGGCTTAGCAGTGCGGCTCCGGGATACCGGTCCAGCCTTGAGCTCCTTGACTGGCCACTGCCACAGGTTCGAGTGATGAGCATGATCCCGATCCTGCCCGCGACAACCGTTCCGAAGGAGCGGACAAGAACGAAGAAAAAACATGCTGAAGGCATGCACGTGGCAGCTGCTCTCAGGGGATTGAGCGGCTCTCGATCATTGCACGCAAATCGCAAAGTCCCGCCGCAACATGCCATTTTTTTTTTTTGGGGGGGGGAAGGGGCAAACACATCACAACCCATGCAAGCGTTCAATTGCATGTCCGTGCAAAGCAAGAAGGCAAGCCTGGCCTCTGGGGTCGCCCCCATTTCTGGTGAAGACACCTGCCCGTGCCGGACAGCCTCCCACGCCAAGCGAGGACCCCCTGCCTGAGTATCAACGCCCATCATGGTGAAGATGAGGTGCGTCTCTCTGCAAAAGGGACCAGGAGTCTACGGAACTCGGCTGAGTGTCACGTGCTGCGGGCGGTGATCTGCCATGATCTCGCATCATGTTGAAGGCAAAGGGCAGAGGCAACTGCACCGCAGGGCAGCCGGCCTTTTGGAACACTCTCGCAACTCTGCGCCGTTGCCGCTTTGTGCTTGCCCCGTGACACTTAAAAGGCCCCGCCTTGCCAGCGCCAAGCATACGACGCAGTCAGCAAGTGCGCTGTTGCGCACCTAGCAACTCATCCATCCACCCGTGCTGCACCGAGCAGCGAGCGCTCGTCCTACCGAGACTCTGTACATTTTGTGCAGCCCAGGGGCCGCAGAACGGGCTAGCTCCACCTGCTATAGAGCCAGCGCCGCTAAAACACAAGCCGGGCTGTACACCTTGAAATCTGTGACGCTTCACAGCTCGAACGGCGGGACCTCCTCCTTCTTGGGGGCTGGCTGAAGCCTGAGTCGGTCGCTTTCAGAACCCACCAATCCACACATTTTCAAAGACCCACGTGCAGAAAGTGAAGCCAGCCATATTTGGCCATTGTATGTTGCAGTTCTCCTGTTTCGTCCGAACGGGTGAGAACGGAATAAGGAAGGTGTTAGGAGGAGGGGAAGGGCATACTATACGAGGGGGATTGAGGCCCTCAGTTGGCTCATATTTCGCCCACAAGCCATGTCAAGCCGGCATGATACAGCCCAAAGGCTGTTCCAGCAGATTCACCAGCTCTGTCTTTTCGGTGACGCCCTTCAGGTCAGCCCCCAGTGCTTCGAGGCGGGCCTCACTCAGCACAAGCATGGCCGGGCTTAGCAGTGCGGCTCCGGGGTACCGGTCCAGCCTTGAGCTCCTTGACAGGCCACTGCCACAGGTTCGAGTGATGAGCATGATCCCGATCCTGCCCGCGACAACCGTTCCGAAGGAGCGGACAAGAACGAAGAAAAAACATGCTGAAGGCCTGCACGTGGTAGCTGCTCTCAGGGGATTGAGCGGCTCTCGATCATTGCACGCAAATCGCAAAGTCCCGTCGCAACATGCCATTTTTTTTGGGGGGGGGGGAAGGGGCAAACACATCACACACCATGCAAGCGTTCAATTGCATGTCCGTGCAAAGCAAGAAGGCAAGCCTGGCCTTCTTGGGGTCGCCCCCATTTCTGGTGAAGACACCTGCCCGTGCCGGACAGCCTCCCACGCCAAGCGAGGACCCCCTGCCTGAGTATCAACGCCCATCATGGTGAAGATGAGGTGCGTCTCTCTGCAAAAGGGACCAGGAGTCTACGGAACTCGGCTGAGTGTCACGTGCTGCGGGCGGTGATCTGCCATGATCTCGCATCATGTTGAAGGCAAAGGGCAGAGGCAACTGCACCGCAGGGCAGCCGGCCTTTTGGAACACTCTCGCAACTCTGCGCCGTTGCCGCTTTGTGCTTGCCCCGTGACACTTAAAAGGCCCCGCGGGGAATTTAAACTTGCCAGCGCCAAGCATACGACGCAGTCAGCAAGTGCGCTGTTGCGCACCTAGCAACTCATCCATCCACCCGTGCTGCACCGAGCAGCGAGCGCTCGTCCTACCGAGACTCTGTACATTTTGTGCAGCCCAGGGGCCGCAGAACGGGCTAGCTCCACCTGCTATAGAGCCAGCGCCGCTAAAACACAAGCCGGGCTGTACACCTTGAAATCTGTGACGCGTCACAGCTCGAACGGCGGGACCTCCTCCTTCTTGGGGGCTGGCTGAAGCCTGAGTCGGTCGCTTTCAGAACCCACCAATCCACAAATTGTCAAAGACCCACATGGAGAAAGTGAAGCCAGCCATATTTGGCCATTGTATGTTGCAGTTCTCTGTTTCGTCCGAACGGGTGAGAATGGAATGAGGAAGGTGTTAGGAGGAGGGGGAGGGTACACGAGGGGGATTGAGGTGCACGACTGTTTGCTGTTGCGGGGTTGTGGGCGCTGTGGCCCCCAGTTGGCTCATATTTCGCCCACAAGCCAAGTCAAGCCGGCATGATACAGCCCAAAGGCTGTTCCAGCAGATTCACCAGCTCTGTCTTTTCGGTGACGCCCTTCAGGTCAGCCCCCAGTGCTTCGAGGCGGGCCTCACTCAGCACAAGCATGGCCGGGCTTAGCAGTGCGGCTCCGGGATACCGGTCCAGCCTTGAGCTCCTTGACTGGCCACTGCCACAGGTTCGAGTGATGAGCATGATCCCGATCCTGCCCGCGACAACCGTTCCGAAGGAGCGGACAAGAACGAAGAAAAAACATGCTGAAGGCATGCACGTGGTAGCTGCTCTCAGGGGATTGAGCGGCTCTCGATCATTGCACGCAAATCGCAAAGTCCCGCCGCAACATGCCAGTTTTTTTTTTTGGGGGGGGGAAGGGGCAAACACATCACACACCATGCAAGCGTTCAATTGCATGTCCGTGCAAAGCAAGAAGGCAAGCCTGGCCTCTGGGGTCGCCCCCATTTCTGGTGAAGACACCTGCCCGTGCCGGACAGCCTCCCACGCCAAGCGAGGACCCCCTGCCTGAGTATCAACGCCCATCATGGTGAAGATGAGGTGCGTCTCTCTGCAAAAGGGACCAGGAGTCTACGGAACTCGGCTGAGTGTCACGTGCTGCGGGCGGTGATCTGCCATGATCTCGCATCATGTTGAAGGCAAAGGGCAGAGGCAACTGCACCGCAGGGCAGCCGGCCTTTTGGAACACTCTCGCAACTCTGCGCCGTTGCCGCTTTGTGCTTGCCCCGTGACACTTAAAAGGCCCCGCGGGGAATTTAAACTTGCCAGCGCCAAGCATACGACGCAGTCAGCAAGTGCGCTGTTGCGCACCTAGCAACTCATCCATCCACCCGTGCTGCACCGAGCAGCGAGCGCTCGTCCTACCGAGACTCTGTACATTTTGTGCAGCCCAGGGGCCGCAGAACGGGCTAGCTCCACCTGCTATAGAGCCAGCGCCGCTAAAACACAAGCCAGGCTGTACACCTTGAAATCTGTGACGCGTCACAGCTCGAACGGCGGGACCTCCTCCTTCTTGGGGGCTGGCTGAAGCCTGAGTCGGTCGCTTTCAGAACCCACCAATCCACAAATTGTCAAAGACCCACATGGAGAAAGTGAAGCCAGCCATATTTGGCCATTGTATGTTGCAGTTCTCTGTTTCGTCCGAACGGGTGAGAATGGAATGAGGAAGGTGTTAGGAGGAGGGGGAGGGTATACGAGGGGGATTGAGGTGCACGATTGTTTGCTGTTGCGGGGTTGTGGGCGCTGTGGCCCCCAGTTGGCTCATATTTCGCCCACAAGCCAAGTCAAGCCGGCATGATACAGCCCAAAGGCTGTTCCAGCAGATTCACCAGCTCTGTCTTTTCGGTGACGCCCTTCAGGTCAGCCCCCAATGCTTCGAGGCGGGCCTCACTCAGCACAAGCTCCAAAACCCAGTCATAAGTCATATCAGGTGTCCAGGCATAGCAGTGCGACTTCGGGATACCGGTCCAGCCTTGAGCTCCTTGACTGGCAACCACCACAAATTCGAGTGATGAGCATGATCCCGATCCTGCCCGTGACAACCGTTCAGAGGGAGCGGACAAGCACGGGTTGAGGGGCCATCAGGGAACATAGGAACATAAGAACATCTTTTGGGAACATGCGTCACACACCGTGCCGTGCAATCCTCCGGGGTTGGTCCCATCTCTGGCGAAGAAATCGCAGTTGAGGCTGGAGATCCACTCCTGACATGCCAAAGGCATTCAAAGGTCCAAAGATGCGGCGCCTTGCGTCACGTGGGGTCACCCCGGCTCCTGCCTCTTCACGGGATGCGAGTCTTCCTCCTGTCCGTGGCCACCAACAAAACGCGCGCGCAGTGGCACATCGTCAGCATGCGCCCAAGCGGCCCCATGTGGCGCCATGTGGGCTGATGCGGCCCCGGCATCTTGTCAGAATCTGCAATGCAAATCCACGGCCCCGGCCTGACTATCAACACCCATCGTGGAGTCTGTGTGCAACTCTTCCGAGGTGCGTTTCACCATGACGAATGGGACCAAGCGGGAGGCTTTGGAACTTGGCTTGGACGTGGGCCGCGGACAGATGCGGACATTCCCTCCTGACCTCTCCCAACCCCCTCCTCTTCTAACAGGGGGAGCGCCACACCACCTACTCCCAACCTCAAGCAAAATCACACCGGCACGAGCGAGATACGCAAAGGCAAGTCCGGGTCAGAACGTGACGTTGCGCCGCAGCCCTGCAGTCGGGCATCCAGCCTTTTGGTGCCACTCTCTCGCAACTCTGCGCCGTTGCCGCTTTGTGCTTGCCCCGGGACACTTAAAAGGCCTCGCGGGGAATTTAAACTTGCCAGCGCCAAGCATACGACGCAGTCAGCAAGTGCGCTGTTGCGCACCCTAGCAAACATATGCTGGTACAGCTCGCAGGTGGGCGAACAGTTGCTTTCATGCGACTGCATCCTGATTTCTGACACATCATGTTCACAGCCTCAACCATCAAGGCATCAAGGGTTGTGGCCGTTCTCCTACCATAGTGCCGTGGTGGCCATGTCTTTCTGCAACTCATCCATCCACCCGTGCTGCACCAAGCAACGCTCGTCCTACCGAAACTCTGTACATTTTGCGCAGCCCAGGGGCCGCAGAACGGGCTAGCTCCACCTGCTATAGAGCCAGCGCCGCTAAAACACAAGCCGGGCTGTACACCTTGAAATCTTTGACGTGTCACAGCTCGAACGGCGGGACCTCCTCCTTCTTGGGGGCTGGCTGAAGCCTGAGTCGGCCGGCACGACCCGTCAACTCCCCAAACTCTGCTGCTAAGTCCCTCTCAGTCACCCATGAGAAAGAAGTTTGCTTCCCCGTCACTCGAGAGCGCCTCCCCAAACGAACAGCTCATGCAGCATGATGCAGCCCAAAGGCTGTTCCAGCAGATTCACCAGCTCTGTCTTTTCGGTGACGCCCTTCAGGTCAGCCCCCAGTGCTTCGAGGCGGGCCTCACTCAGCACAAGCTCCAAAACCCAGTCATAAGTCATATCAGGTGTCCAGGCATAGCAGTGCGATTCCAGGATACCGGTCCAGCCTTGAGCTCCTTGACTGGCAACCGCCACAGGTTCGAGTGATGAGCATGATCCCGATCCTGCCCGTGACAACCGTTCAGAGGGAGCGGACAAGCACGGGTTGAGGGGCCATCAGGGAACATAGGAACATAAGAACATCTTTTGGGAACATGCGTCACACACCCTGCCGTGCAATCCTCCGGGGTTGGTCCCATCTCTGGCGAAGAAATCGCAGTTGAGGCTGGGGATCCACTCCTCACATTCCAAAGACATTCAAAGGTCGGGGACACCCCGGCTCCTGCCTCTTCACGGGATGCGAGTCTTCCTCCTGTCCGTGGCCACCAACAAAACGCGCGCGCAGTGGCACATCATCAGCATGCGCCCCAAGCGGCCCATGTGGGCCGATGCGGCCCCGGCATCTTGTCAGAATCTGCAACGCAAATCCACGGCCCCGGCCTGACCATCAACACCCATCGTGGAGTCTGTGTGCAACTCTTCCGAGGTGCGTTTCACCATGACGAATGGGACCAAGCGGGAGGCTTTGGAACTTGGCTTGGACGTGGGCCGCGGACAGATGCGGGCATTCGATCCTGACCTCTCCCAACCCCCTCCTCTTCTAACAGGGGGAGCGCCACACCACCTACTCCCAACCTCAAGCAAAATCACACCGGCACGAGCGAGATACGCGAAGGCAAGTCCGGGTCAGAACGTGACGTTGCGCCGCAGCCCTGCAGTCGGGCATCCAGCCTTTTGGTGCCACTCTCTCGCAACTCTGCGCCGTTGCCGCTTTGTGCTTGCCCCGCGACACTTAAAAGGCCCTGCGGGGAATTTAAACTTGCCAGCGCCAAGCATACGACGCAGTCAGCAAGTGCGCTGTTGCGCACCCTAGCAAACATATGCTGATGCAGCTCACAGGTGGGCGAACAGTTGCCTCCATACGACTGCATCCTGATTCCTGGACATCATGTTCACAGCCTCAACCATCAAGGCAACAAGGGCCCTTGGCCCGTCTCCTGCCGTGTTGTGGTGGTCATGTCTTTCTGCAACTCGTCCGTCCACCCGTGTTGCACCAAGCACCGCTCGTCCTACCGAAACTCTGTACATTTTGCGCAGCCCAGGGGCCGCAGAACGGGCTAGCTCCACCTGCTATAGAGCCAGCGCCGCTAAAACACAAGCCGGGCTGTACACCTTGAAATCTTTGACGTGTCACAGCTCGAACGGCGGGACCTCCTCCTTCTTGGGGGCTGGCTGAAGCCTGAGTCGGCCGGCACGACCCGTCAACTCCCCAAACTCTGCTGCTAAGTCCCTCTCAGTCACCCATGAGAAAGAAGTTTGCTTCCCCGTCACTCGAGAGCGCCTCCCCAAACGAACAGCTCATGCAGCATGATGCAGCCCAAAGGCTGTTCCAGCAGATTCACCAGCTCTGTCTTTTCGGTGACGCCCTTCAGGTCAGCCCCCAGTGCTTCGAGGCGGGCCTCACTCAGCACAAGCTCCAAAACCCAGTCATAAGTCATATCAGGTGTCCAGGCATAGCAGTGCGATTCCAGGATACCGGTCCAGCCTTGAGCTCCTTGACTGGCAACCGCCACAGGTTCGAGTGATGAGCATGATCCCGATCCTGCCCGTGACAACCGTTCAGAGGGAGCGGACAAGCACGGGTTGAGGGGCCATCAGGGAACATAGGAACATAAGAACATCTTTTGGGAACATGCGTCACACACCCTGCCGTGCAATCCTCCGGGGTTGGTCCCATCTCTGGCGAAGAAATCGCAGTTGAGGCTGGGGATCCACTCCTCACATTCCAAAGACATTCAAAGGTCGGGGACACCCCGGCTCCTGCCTCTTCACGGGATGCGAGTCTTCCTCCTGTCCGTGGCCACCAACAAAACGCGCGCGCAGTGGCACATCATCAGCATGCGCCCCAAGCGGCCCATGTGGGCCGATGTGGCCCCGGCATCTTGTCAGATCTGCAACGCAAATCCACGGCCCCGGCCTGACCATCAACTCCCATCGTGGAGTCTGTGTGCAACTCTTCCGAGGTGCGTTTCACCATGACGAATGGGACCAAGCGAGAGGCTTTGGAACTTGGCTTGGACGTGGGCCGCGGACAGATGCGGGCATTCTATCCTGACCTCTCCCCACCCCCCCTCTTCTAACAGGGGGAGCGCCACACCACCTATTCCCAACCTCAAGCAAGATCACATCGGCACGAGCGAGATACGCGAAGGCAAGTCCGGGTCAGAACGTGACGTTGCGCTGCAGCCCTGCAGTCGGGCATCCAGCCTTTTGGTGCCACTCTCTCGCAACTCTGCGCCGTTGCCGCTTTGTGCTTGCCCCGTGACACTTAAAAGGCCCCGCGGGGAATTTAAACTTGCCAGCGCCAAGCATACGACGCAGTCAGCAAGTGCGCTGTTGCGCACCCTAGCAAACATATGCTGATGCAGCTCACAGGTGGGCGAACAGTTGCCTCCATACGACTGCATCCTGATTCCTGGACATCATGTCCACAGCCTCAACCATCAAGGCAACAAGGGCCCTTGGCCCGTCTCCTGCCGTGTTGTGGTGGTCATGTCTTTCTGCAACTCGTCCGTCCACCCGTGTTGCACCAAGCACCGCTCGTCCTACCGAAACTCTGTACATTTTGCGCAGCCCAGGGGCCGCAGAACGGGCTAGCTCCACCTGCTATAGAGCCAGCGCCGCTAAAACACAAGCCGGGCTGTACACCTTGAAATCTTTGACGTGTCACAGCTCGAACGGCGGGACCTCCTCCTTCTTGGGGGCTGGCTGAAGCCTGAGTCGGCCGGCACGACCCGTCAACTCCCCAAACTCTGCTGCTAAGTCCCTCTCAGTCACCCATGAGAAAGAAGTTTGCTTCCCCGTCACTCGAGAGCGCCTCCCCAAACGAACAGCTCATGCAGCATGATGCAGCCCAAAGGCTGTTCCAGCAGATTCACCAGCTCTGTCTTTTCGGTGACGCCCTTCAGGTCAGCCCCCAGTGCTTCGAGGCGGGCCTCACTCAGCACAAGCTCCAAAACCCAGTCATAAGTCATATCAGGTGTCCAGGCATAGCAGTGCGATTCCAGGATATCCGTCCAGCCTTGAGCTCCTTGACTGGCAACCGCCACAGGTTCGAGTGATGAGCATGATCCCGATCCTGCCCGTGACAACCGTTCAGAGGGAGCGGACAAGCACGGGTTGAGGGGCCATCAGGGAACATAGGAACATAAGAACATCTTTTGGGAACATGCGTCACACACCCTGCCGTGCAATCCTCCGGGGTTGGTCCCATCTCTGGCGAAGAAATCGCAGTTGAGGCTGGGGATCCACTCCTCCAATGCCAAAGACATTCAAAGGTCGGGGACACCCCGGCTCCTGCCTCTTCACGGGATGCGAGTCTTCCTCCTGTCCGTGGCCATTAACAAAACGCGCGCGCAGTGGCACATCATCAGCATGCGCCCCAAGCGGCCCATGTGGGCCGATGTGGCCCCGGCATCTTGTCAGAATCTGCAACGCAAATCCACGGCCCCGGCCTGACCATCAACTCCCATCGTGGAGTCTGTGTGCAACTCTTCCGAGGTGCGTTTCACCATGACGAATGGGACCAAGCGAGAGGCTTTGGAACTTGGCTTGGACGTGGGCCGCGGACAGATGCGGGCATTCTATCCTGACCTCTCCCCACCCCCCCTCTTTTAACAGGGGGAGCGCCACACTACCTATTCCCAACCTCAAGCAAGATCACACCGGCACGAGCGAGATACGCGAAGGCAAGTCCGGGTCAGAACGTGACGTTGCGCCGCAGCCCTGCAGTCGGGCATCCAGCCTTTTGGTGCCACTCTCTCGCAACTCTGCGCCGTTGCCGCTTTGTGCTTGCCCCGCGACACTTAAAAGGCCCTGCGGGGAATTTAAACTTGCCAGCGCCAAGCATACGACGCAGTCAGCAAGTGCGCTGTTGCGCACCCTAGCAAACATATGCTGATGCAGCTCACAGGTGGGCGAACAGTTGCCTCCATACGACTGCATCCTGATTCCTGGACATCATGTTCACAGCCTCAACCATCAAGGCAACAAGGGCCCTTGGCCCGTCTCCTGCCGTGTTGTGGTGGTCATGTCTTTCTGCAACTCGTCCGTCCACCCGTGTTGCACCAAGCACCGCTCGTCCTACCGAAACTCTGTACATTTTGCGCAGCCCAGGGGCCGCAGAACGGGCTAGCTCCACCTGCTATAGAGCCAGCGCCGCTAAAACACAAGCCGGGCTGTACACCTTGAAATCTTTGACGTGTCACAGCTCGAACGGCGGGACCTCCTCCTTCTTGGGGGCTGGCTGAAGCCTGAGTCGGCCGGCACGACCCGTCAACTCCCCAAACTCTGCTGCTAAGTCCCTCTCAGTCACCCATGAGAAAGAAGTTTGCTTCCCCGTCACTCGAGAGCGCCTCCCCAAACGAACAGCTCATGCAGCATGATGCAGCCCAAAGGCTGTTCCAGCAGATTCACCAGCTCTGTCTTTTCGGTGACGCCCTTCAGGTCAGCCCCCAATGCTTCGAGGCGGGCCTCACTCAGCACAAGCTCCAAAACCCAGTCATAAGTCATATCAGGTGTCCAGGCATAGCAGTGCGATTCCAGGATACCGGTCCAGCCTTGAGCTCCTTGACTGGCAACCGCCACAGGTTCGAGTGATGTGCATGATCCCGATCCTGCCCGTGACAAGAAGGCAGGCACCCGGCTGTGGAATGTTCCCATGGAGCGTGGCCTCTGGGGTTGGCCCCATTTCTGGCGAAGAAACCGCAGTTGAGGCCGGGGATCCACTCCTCATGCACTTGGATGGATGCTCCTCGGCCTCATCTGCTCATTTGGCTCAGCCAAATGCCCAAGAACGGGGTGCAGTTCTCTCTAACACAGGGCCTCGAAGCTAGTTTTGGAGCGGAGGTGTGCGAAAGGCAGCTCTGGATTTGGAGGGGCCTGCCAGGCCCATCCCACACGCTGAGGTTTGAGCGAACTGCGGAAAGCACGCCTCCACATCCATGTGAGCGTCTGCCGCCCGCTTTACCATGATAGGAAGGAAAACGCTAGAGCTGAGTACGGCTGCAGGTCAGTCCCAGTTCCTTTTTTCGAACCCACACATCATGGGCAAACCATGGGGCAATGCAGCCATGCGCAGCTCTGCAAGCGTGGTCTTTTTGCAGACCCTCTGAACACGCTCGGACCTTTACACGCCTGCCACATGCTTAGTGCCGAGAAAGCGCCCCTCAGGCACTATGAGCTCTGGAGCAGGCGGAAGCGCCCCCGGACCCGACGGCCGAAGCCGAAGTTTCCAAAGGCACCACGAGCGGTCAGGCTCCCGGAAGCACCAGCAAAGCGGCTCTCAGCGAGTTCTTCCAGAAATGTCCTGACACAAGACTCCTATTCCCTATGCCTACAATGTACAAAGCCTGGCTCTAGCCGGCTCGGAGGGGTTGGCTGGATGGAACCTGAAAATCGGACGCATCTGCGATGCCCTCCCTGAAGAATACAGAGTCTGCTGGAAGCCAAGCTGAGCAGGTGGCATGTGAAATACTTCGCCAACCCCAGGATTAAATCACGGCGCCCGTCAATCAGGACCAAACTCACTGTGACCAAAGTGCTTTTGGGGGATGATGTATATAGGGGTCAACCGGTCCAATCGACGCCGAGCGGAGCTTACACGTGCGCGTCAGGCTACGCCCTTTGCGAAGGCCCGGGGCTCCAAAGGGGCCTCGGCGGGGCGACCTCCAGACACCTTCACACGATTGGCACGGAAGGTATCAACGTGATGAGATAGGAAGGGGCTGCAACATGCTGCAACTGTGCAGGTCCCCAGCCTCCGGGCTCAGTCACAAAGAATCCTCGGCCGATCGCAGAAATGTCCACTTCGATCAAAATCAGCGCAGCGTATGCGGGTGGAGTCGGGGCACTCGATGCCAGGCCAGATTTGAATGCCACCAGCGCCGATTTTTGCGGCCTGGCATCCAAGCAAGCAATTCCTTTGCCAACGTCCACTGCTTGTTGTGATGTCCACTGAGGATTTCCTTCTGGCAAACACAACAACGAGCCGAGCACATGCTTTCCAAACAGCAAGCGGCACGTGCTGGCTGCCAGCCAACCCAGAAGACTGAAAGCCCAAGCCCGAAGGCACGCATGCCCTAGCCTTGTGGTGCTTGTAGTAGGTCCCACCTGCTTCCGTAGGCAAAACAGAACTCCAAAGCCCATCGAAAGGACTCGCCTGGCTTTCCATCGCTGTATTTCCGCCCGTAATTCTGGAGGCGGAGCTTGTCCTGTCACACGCTCGAGGCATGCCTGCGTTGGAATCAAACATGATACAATTTCCGTGTCGGGACGGTTCTGAAAATCTTCTGATATACGATCTGTGCAAAACCCGCTGAATTCGTTCCATGCCCAGTGCGAGGCTCGAGCGCCTGCGTCTTGCGCCAATAATTGGTGCCACCCCGTACTGTAACTGTAACTGGCTACACCCATGTTCCATGCATCTTGTGTTGCCAGGATCCGTCTCAAGTGCCAAACTGAGGCTTGATGAGACAGCGATTGGCTGATTGAATTCAGGGGATGTAGCATTCAAAAGCACCATCCCGTCCGGCCCCATGGGCAACTCTTGGGCGTGTCTTGTTGGGCTACAGCAACCCAGTACCAACATATTTTGGGTTCGCCCTGTTTTGTCACAAGCACACCGCAATAGGCCTTGCCGAAACGAGCTTCCAACTTGGGTATGAACCTTAAGAGATGGAACCACCTCAAAAGTGGTTGGTGGACCTACATCCTATTATGTCCACCAAGTGGACGGTGTGGGCATAAATTCCCTCATCATTTGTTCATCCTGTCCAAGTCCGGACCCATTGCTCCTCTGCCTGAAGGGAACATGGCTCTATGGCCACCTTCCCCGCCAAGAGCACGCCGCCTCGCACCTCACCCGCTCGTGGGGAAAACTGAGCTGAGCGGGTCGCGGGCAGGCCTCGGTGATCTCGTGCACGTTGCCCTCCCTCACCACATAGGAGAAGTCCTCCAAACAGCGAACGTGCGCAAGCCGCAGCAAAGAAACCGCCTCAAAGATTGGCATGGGAAGCCCTGTAAAAGGGCTTCCTTTCCGAAAATTTGGTTGCCTTGTCAAACCAATGAAAGGGATCAATTCAACAAACACACACACACACAGACACACACACACACACAAAAACAAAAATCGCACCCGACTCGGCCTTCGGCTTCCAATTGGCGACCTCGTAGCTGCGGCAGTATCTGGCATAGCTCTGCTCCCACACGTCGTTGTAAACTATGCCCTTTCCTGAGCGAAAACCTTTTCCCGGCAGGTCTGGATCAATGCATTCAGACCTCTTGTAAGTCTCACTTGAAAGGACAAGGTTCACCTTCTGGGACCTAAAAGTGGGCCAAAAAAGGGGGAAACCATGGAGAACTGAAAGGTTAAAAGGTCCGGTTTTGAACAACTGAGAAGACTCTGGGCAGGGTGGGAGTTAGTGACTTTCACATGTAATCTTGCGAATGAATTATTCAGGTCTCCATTGAAGAAGCTGATGATATCCTCCGCCGTGGTGAAGGTGTTCACTTCAAATACTTTCTCCTCCTGGCAGCGGACCGGTCAGTGCAAAGCTGAGCCTTGCAGACCCCGACCTCTTCCAACAAGTCCAGGATCGGCAGCACGTACTCCAGGGGAAACCATCTGCCCTTCTGGGCATGCGTGCGATCTAAGAGCTTCTGATGATGGAAGGGCCTCAGCTCACGAGAGTTTCCCATAGTTAAACCAGGGAATATGAGCATTTTTCGTCGGATGTTCATGAGGCTTTCGGTTTCAAATCTCAGTGAGGCTGCCCCAGCATCCCGAGACCGCTTGGAAGCCTTCCTGCTCTAAGGCGGCCGGGGAGCAACAGCGGCAACACGATCCACTGAAGGTGCAGTTGCGACTGCGACGGCGGACTGTTGAACCCGCACATGATGTTCTGACCTCGCGCCCAACCGCGCCCGATGTGACGCCGGCTTGAGACCTTTCTCCACATGACTCCACCCGTGTCTCAGGCCATCACGAATCATCTCCTGAGAAAAGCTTTGGGTCCGAAAGCATCTGAAGCTTGCCGCGCATGGCCCAGAAAGCCCTACAGACCGTCCTCCGTGACCCCTTCTCTATAGATGAAGCTTCGCCATTCAGCCTCACTGCGCCGCGCTCGGAAGGAAAGCGATGCGCGGGCGGTTCCACGGGCCCGGGTCTAACGAGCTCTGGCCAAGGCGCGTGTTCCAAGAATGATCTAGTTGCCTCCCAGGCCTCGGCAAGCGCACACCCTCTTGTTCTTCTCTTTGCTCATTCAATTCTCCCGTGAGTCTTCCCACGAGGCGCCTCCTGCACCAGGATGTTGATGAGCTGCTTGGCACCCTTTGGGTCTCGCAGCAGCCACTTCCAATCCTGCGGGGCAAATGCCAAAGAATGCGCCAAGCCACCTCTGCATCGACCAACTTCTCGCGGGTCCGGAACATAATGATTGGTGGGCAGGGCGTTGAGGTGACAGGACGACATGGCCAGCCTGCCAGCACATGCAACCGACATCAAATGCAACCTTTACAACTTCCCCCCTCTCTCTACATCCATACCCTGCTTACCTCTCACTTCCCAAGTTGACTGGCCAAAAAAAGTCTGAACTTTTTATGTACCACTAAAATGGTCTTTCCAAAAAGTTTAAAGTCCATCAACTCAGGAAGTGAGACCAGCGATGTTGGCGATGGGATTTGAAATCCCAAGGGTATGGCTTCAACCTTGAACACTAAGCCAAGTCTTTCCCACCCAATTTAATCAGCAAAGATGCAAGTTGCATCTAGATGGGGACGTCATAACTTCGTAGATGCAAGCGCTAGTTATGCAGCCCTCTGGTCTCCTTCCTTTTTTGTGGTCTTTTTGGTCTTTCTGGTTTGTCCTGTCTGTCCTTCCTGTCTGTGCGCCCTGCCCGTGTCTCTTCCCCCCCCAACCAACAAACTCGAGACAGGTGAAGTGACCAACACGCCTAGGAGTTCTGGAAAAGCCAGTGTGTCTGTTTGAGTGCGATAAGGGGGTCCTGGCCACATCCATAATACATTTCTCTAATTAAACAGAACACGCTAGAATTTGCTGAATTCACATCTGATGTTACATACAAACCTAAGAATGACCCGGAAATAATTTGAAATTGCGTAGCAACTATTCTTCTTTTACAAGCGAAACCCAACAGTACAAGCAACAGTTACGATTGTAAATGATGTTTCACTAGTAGTACAAAATATATAATTACTCAAATGAGAATCATGGATTTATACTTGGAGAGTGAGGGGTCCCAAGGGCCTGCATTGAGGGGTCATTTCGCTTCAAGGGGAAACCAAGAGGACCAACTTTTTTTGTTTGAGGGGGGGGGTCCCTAAAAAGACACCCCCAATTGTTTCCAAGAGGTCTAAGGGGCTGACAAACAAAAACCAGCCATGTATCATGCTTTCATTTTTTCAGAGCCGGGGGCCGGGCGGGGGGGGGGGGGGTCGGCAACATCCAAAGTTGACAAGCACTAGTCAGTCTTGTCAAAACTTCAAGGCGCAACCTGGTGCGGCCAAAGGCGCAAGTCGTCATAGACGATCGCTTCCGTGCTTTGTCTCCGCAATGAAATCACCAGGGGAAACCTCATGCCCCGGCTATGCGGCAAATACCAACCAGGGCCCCAAGAATGGCGACTTTTTTAGAAGGAGATCAATCAAAGATCTTGCGGCCGGGCTGCTTTGATGTCCGCTCGACACCAAAAATGAAGCCCATGAGCACGTTCCTAGGGGGATGTTCGTCTCCAACGAAACGGGCCTACGTCAAAAAAACACCCCTTTGGTCAAGTTGTCAAGTCCAGTTCTATCCACTTGTCTCGCGGCTGAGAAAGAGACAAGGTGCTCGCAATTGATATTTGATGGTTCCACATGCCTTCTTCCTTCCAAGATGCTCCGTCTGGGTCACTGGTACGGCCCCCAACTGCGTCCCACCTAGGGCGCCAAAAGGACACACCTTCTTTGCGCTTGCATGTCCCGGCGTGCGGAATTTTGAGACTCTGTGCGGGGTGGTTGTAAAGAGAGCCAAAGGATAGCCGAAGCTATGAAAGGGGGTCCGCCTACTTGTTCTAAGACCACCTCATTTTTGCTCGGAGGACATCGGGCAGGAAGGTACTAAGTTGCGGCCAAGCGACATGCTTGGCACGCACGTTGTGAATGCGCGCAGGCACGTAAGCACTGCGCACACACCTCGAGGCGAGCTGCGAGCATTCAAAAACCACCTGCCCAAGGCAACCCCATGCCAATCGCAGCATGCTCCCGTGCCCGTCCTTCACGTTGTTGAAAAGGTACCTGGCATTGAGCAAAGACTTGCGAGACCTCTGACCCACTCTATTGCGAGGCCTGGCCAAGTCCTTGTTGGTCTCTGCCAGCTGTTCCACCTGAACTTCGCAATTTGTTGCTGAGCAAAGTCATTGCACTCCAGACTAACCAAGCCCCAAGAACACTATAGAGGAATCTCCTTCTTGGGGGCCCCTTCACGTCACCCTAAATCCAAGGTCTGTTTTTGTCAGCGTGCAGTTGAGGCACCGCTCCGCACAGCGGCGGCTCGATGGCTTCCCAGCCGCAAGGAACCTCTAAGTTCAGGGAACTTGCAGCATGTAAAGGCCGGGTTTGCTTGTATCACAGTGGGGATAAACCTCCTCCCACAACCCTGTTCAAGCGTACACAGGTCCTAATAAAGGGAAAAACACGGCCTTTGATTTGGGTTGCAACCCCAAAATCCAACCAGCCGCTTGCACGCAATGCAGAGATGCGCAAAGGCCTCTGGGAAGTGTCCTTTGAATCCAGCCAGGTACCAACCATCTTGACCAGGTTGTACCCAGATTCCCTGACAGTGTCCAGCAACTTGAGACGAGGAGCACTCTTTTTTCAGAGCAAAATGGTTGACGTTCGTGGCAGCGGTGAGTGCAAAAGTGCTAACATGCCAAGCCACATCCCTGGGTGAAGACACTTTCCGCTCCTGGCCGGGCCAACAAAGAAACTACTCGCCGCGTATCCCAAAGTGTTTATCACAAAGAAGGAGCCCAACCATGCCCCTGAGAGCTGCGCAGCAAGGGCTATGTTAGGATGCGCTGTGCTGTGCAGCAAAGCCCCCCCATACAAGTATACGCGTCTGCCCTTGCGGTTGTTGATATCACGGTCTGCGTATGAGTGTGCTCGTGTAATCTTGGCCATTTGTGCACCACAACCAACACTACTAAGCGCTTGCGACGCACACGTCCACATGGGCGCAAGGGAAACTGAGTATGCGCCGTGCGGCAGTGCTTGCTTTGGGAGCACGCACGTACCCTTATCTTTTGTGATTTTGCGGTGAACAGCAGCATTAGCCCTATTTCTCCCAGCCAAAAGTGACGGGTTTGGTGTGTTTTGTCGGGCTCTTGACAGCACTGTAGGACCAACCAGCGGAGCCAAGATACGCTAACGCGTGCGGCCCAGCTATGTTGACATGCGCAAAGCTATGTTGACATGCGTTGCCCAGGAAAGATATAATGCTCAGGCAAGATAGGGCGACATGGTGACACGCGCAGATCAACAAGGCGCTGGCACGGGGCACAAAGCAGAACCGTCCTCGCAGTGGGCGGCAAGCAAATTCGCACACAACAACATCGAGAGCGCTTCGGCACGCGCGATCCTTACAGTCGGACAACGGGCGTAATTGAAATCAAGGCTATGTTGAGACGCGCTGATATGTTCTCACGCGCTGCGCAGCAGAGCCATGCTGAGATGTGTTTTGGAGCGCGGGTGTGTTGAGATGCACTGTAGAGCATGGCTATGTGGTAAGATGTGCTGTGCAGCAAGGCAATGTTGAGATGTTCTGCTATGTTGAAATGTGCTGTGAAGCAAGGCTATGCCGAGATGCGCTGTGCAGCGAAGCTATGTTGAGATGCAGCGTGCAGCAAGGTTGTGTTGAGATAAGACAAGCTATACTGAGACGCTTCTGTGAAGCATGGCTATGTTGTCGCTGCGCGGCAGAGTCATGTTGACATGTGCTGTGAAGCAAGGCTATGTTGAGCTGTGCTGCGCAGCCAGGCTTTAACATGCGCTGCAAGGCAAGGCTCTGTCGACCTGCGCTGTGCAGCAAGGCTATGTTGTGCTTGACTGTGCAAAGCTATGTCAAGATGTGTTGCGCGCAAGCATAGCTGAGGCGCGCTGTGCAGCAAGGGGATGTTGAGGTGTCCTGCGCAGCGAGGGTATGTGGAGGTGTGCTGCGAGACAACTTGTACGTTGTGAACAAGGCTACATTAAGAAAAGCTGCGCAGCATGTTCAGATGTGCTGGGCAACGTTGAGCTGCAGGCAATGAAATGCGCAGTGGAACAGGTCTGTGTTGAGATGTGTTGTGAAGCAAGGCTAAGTTGTCATGTGCTGTGCAGCAGAGCCATGTTGAGATGCGCTGTGTAGCAAACCAGTGTTGAGATGCGAAGCGCAGCAAGGCTATGTCGGGATGCCTTATGAAGCAACGCTATGTTGCGACCTGTGCAGCGGGGCTATGTTGACATGTGCCCTGCGGCAAGGGCATGTTGAGATGTGATGTGAAGCACGGGTATGTTGTGCTGTGCTGGACAGCAAAGCTATGCTGAGATGTTCTGTAAAGCGAAGCTGATGTTGAGATGCGCTGCGCAGCGAGGCTTTGTGCAGAGGTGTTGTGAAGCGAGGCTATGCTAAGATGCGCTGTGCAGCAGGGCTATGTTGAGATGCGCTGCGCAGCAAGCCTATGTTGAATTGCGTTGTGAGGCAAGGTGATGTTGCCAAGCGTTGTGCAGCAGTGTGGAGATGTGTTGCGAGGCAGGGCCATGTTGTATGTGCTGCGCGCAGATGTGCGTGAACAAAGGCTATGTTAAGATGCGCTGTGCAGCACACAACATGTTGAGATGTGTTGCAACAGCGGCAAGGCTGTGTTGAGATGCGCAGTGCAGCAGGGCCGTGTTGAGATGCCCTGTCAAGCAAAGCAATGTTGAGATGTGCTGCGCACTAAGGCTATGCTGAGTTGCGCTGCGCAGGCAGGGTATGTTGAGATGCGCGGCGCGGCGAGCAAATGTTGCCACGCGAAGTGCAGCTATGCCATGCTAAACTGTGCTGTGAAGAAACGCAATTTTGAGATGCGCTGTAAAGCAAAGCTACTTTGAGACTGTCCAACCAAAAACTATGTTGAGATGTGCTGTGCAGCAAGGCTATGTAGATGTGCTGCAAACCAAGGTTGAGATTTTCAGTACAGCAAGGCTATGTTGAGATGCGTTGTGAAGAAAGGATATGCTGAGCTGTGCTCTGAGATGTGCTGTGAAGCATGGCTATGTTGTCATGTGCTGCGCAACAGTTTCATGTCAGAAGCTGTGCTGTCAAGCAAAGCTGTGCTGCGCAGCAAGGCTAAGAAGTGCGATGCAAGGCAAGGCTATGTTCAGCTGCGCTGTGCAACAAGGCTATGTTGAGATGCGCTGCAGATCAAGGCTATGTTGAGATCGGCTGTGCAGCGAGGCTATGTCGAGATGTGCTCTTAAGAGAGGCTATGTTGAACTGCGCTGCGCAGCAACGGAATGTTGAGGCGTTCTGCCATGTGCTGCGCACATGTTGAGATGCGCCGTAGAGCCGAACAATGTTGATATGTGCTGCGCAGCAAGGCTATGCTGCGATGCGCTGCGCAGCACGGGCATGGTGGGATGTGCCCTGAAGCAAGGCTATGTTGTCTTTTGCTTTGAATCAAGGCTATGTCAAGATGTGCTGCGCGCCGGGGCTATGTCGAGATGTGCGATGCAGCAAGCAGATGTTGCCATGCGAAGTGCAACAGAGTCATGTTAAGATACGCTGTGCAAGAAAGCTATATTGAGATGCGGTGTGCAGCACGGCTATGTTGAGATGTGCGGTGCAGCCGCATATGTTGCCATGCAAAGTGCAGCAGAGGCATGTCAAGTGCAGCAAAGCCATGGTAAGACGCGCTGTGAAGACGGCTATGTTGAGATGTGCTATAAACTCACGTTGGGACGTTCTGCGCAGCAAGGCTATGTTGAGATGTGATGTGAAGCACGGGTATGTTGTGCTGTGCTGGACAGCAAAGCTATGCTGAGGTGTTCTGTAAAGCGAAGCTGATGTTGAGATGCGCTGCGCAGCAAGGCTATGTGGAGAGGTGTTGTGAAGCGAGGCTATGTTAAGATGCGCTTTGCAGCAGGGCTATGTTGAGATGCGCTGCGCAGCAAGCCTATGTTGAATTGCGTTGTGAAGCAAGGTGATGTTGCCAAGCGTTGCGCAGCAGTGTGGAGATGTGTCAATGTTGTATGTGCTGCGCGCAGATGTGCGTGAACAAAGGCTATGCTACGATGCGCTGTGCAGCACACAACATGTTGAGATGTGTTGCAACAGCAGCAAGGCTGTGTTGAGATGCGCAGTGCAGCATAGCCGTGTTGAGATGCGCCAGCAAGCAAATGTTGCCACGCGAAGTGCAGCTATGCCATGCTAAAATGTGCTGTGAAGAATTGTCCAACAAAACTATGTTGAGATGTGCTGTGCAGCAAGGCTATGTAGATGTGCTGCAAACCAAGGTTAAGATTTCTGTGCAGCGAGGCTATGTTGAGATGCGCTGTGAAGAAAGGACATGCTGAGCTGTGCTTCTAAGCAAGGCTATGCTGAGATGTCCTGTGCAGCTAGGCTATGCTGAGATGTGCTGTGAAGCACGTCTATGTTGTCATGTGCTGCGCAACAGTTTCATGTCACAAGCTGTGCTGTGAAGCAAGGCTGTGTTGAGCTGTGCTGCGCAGCGAGGCTAAGAAATGCGATGCGTGGCAAGGCTATGTTCGGCTGCGCTGCGCAGCAAGGCTATGTTGAGATGCGCTGCAAATCAAGGCTATGTTGAGATCGGCTGTGCAGCGAGGCTTTGCTGAGATGTGCTCTTACGCAAGGCTATGTTGAGCTGCGCTGCGCAGCAACGGCATGTTGAGGCGTTCTGCGCAGAAGGGGTAGGTGAGGGTGTGTTGTGAAGAAAGGCTAGGTTGTCATGTGCTGCGCAGATTTTGAGATGCGCCATGTTGATATGTGCTGCGCGGCAAGGCTATGCTGCGATGCGCTGCTCAGCACGGCCATGGTGAGATGTGCCCTGCAGCAAGGCTACGTTGTCTTTTGCTTTGAAACAACGCCATGTCAAGATGTGCAGGAAAATATTGAGATGCGGTGTGCAGCATGGCTATGTTGAGATGTGCGGTGCAGCAGCATATGTTGCTATGCAAAGTGCAGCAGAGGCACGCCAAGTGCAGCAAAGCCAAGGGAAAATGCGCTGTAAAGTCGGCTATGTTGAGATGTGCTATAAACTAACGTGGGGACGTTCTGTGCAGCAAGGCTATGTTGAGATGCGCTGTGCAGCACACAACATGTTGCGCAGCAAGGCTGTGTTGAGATGCGCAGTGCAACAGAGCCGTGTTGAGATGTGCTGTCAAGCAAAGCAATGTTGAGATGTGCTGCGCGCTAAGGATATGCTGAGTTGCGCTGCGCAGGCAGGCTATGTTGAGATGCGCGGCGCAGCAAGCAAATGTTGCCATGCGAAGTGCAGCTATGCCATGCTAAAATGTGCTGTGAAGAAACGCAATTTTGACACGCTCTGTAAAGCAAAGCTACTTTGAGACTGTCCAACAAGACTATGTTGAGACGTGCTGTGCAGCAAGGCTATGTAGATGTGCTGCAAACCAAGGTTGAGATTTTCTGTACAGCAAGGCTATGTTGAGATGCGCTGTGAAGAAAGGATATGTTGAGCTGTGCTGCGAAGCAAGGCTATGCTGAGATGTGCTGTGAAGCACGTCTATGTTGTCATGCGCTGCGCAACAGTTTCATGTCACAAGCTGTGCTGTCAAGCAAGGCTGTGTTGAGCTGTGCTGCGCAGCAAGGCTAAGAAATGCGATGCAGCAAGGCTATGTTCAGCTGCGCTGTGCAACAAAGCTATGTTGAGATGCGCTGCAGATCAAGGCTATGTTGAGATTGGCTGT